TTCACATTGTAAGTGCGCAATGATCTTACTACAATAATTTTTAATTTTAATTAGTTTTGTTTTGTACACTGATGAAGATCTATAAACAAGGAATCAAACGGTCTGTAATTTTTCTTGGAATTCAATGTTATCTGCGATTAGCGTCTGTTTTATGGGCATCTGTAGACAGGACGTGTTACGCGAGGCTAGAACCGACTTGATAGCCAATCAATATGCTACTTTTCTACAAAAGCATAATGTTGACTGGCATTGCGCACAACGCATTGAATCGTTTTTCTGCAGACGCCGTTATGTAAGAAAAATATTATAAATTTGAAAGTAACGATAAAGTAACGCCTCATTTTGTTACTCGTTACCGAAGAAATGTAACGTCGTTACTGCTTTTGTTACACATAAAAAAAAGTAACGTTGTTACGGAGTCGTTACCAAAAAAAAGTAACTGTAACGGTAACGTCGTTACAAGTAACGCGTTACTTCCCAACCCTGATATATATATATTTTATGTTTATATACATATATATTATATTCGGTAATGCTTGTGCAAAAGCAAATTCAGAATCTGGAATTTGTGAGAGAAGGTCAACACAAAATGTTGCTACTTGATATTGGTGCACGTTTCAATAATAAAACGTTGATTGACATTAACAATTTTTATGTAATAATAACTTTTAGTTAAATATAGTATATATATATATATATATGTACATATATATTATATTCGGTAATAAAACGTTGATTGACATTTACACTTTTGATGTTGATAACAACAATCATATTATCGATATTTGATACTTAACTTTTTTTTCAGTTTTACGTTCTGATATGTTCTCTGTAGCAACGTACTGTTATTCTTATATGTAAATATTTATCGTGCCCTATAATTGNCGTTTCACCGCTCGTAGGCAAGAAGGGGTTANTCTAAGACAAAAAGTTCTANCAANATTTTGGAAGATTCGCAATAATTGACGAGATATGAAGTAATAAANATCCGCTAATCAGCGTGCATCTAGTGTAAGGGGAGCGTAAGGACAGCCTAGTTTTTCTCGCGGATAGCGCGCTCCCCGAACGCAGCTTATATGCTGTTTATGTATAAGTGCACATACTATCCTATTAGCTCCTCCCATTCCATCGCAACGGCGCGTCCGCGCGAAAGACTAGGCTGTCCTTACGCTCTCCTAACTCTGGATGTACGCTGATTAGCGGATCTTTATTAATTCATATCTCGTTAATTATTGCTAATCTTGCAAAGTGGTATAGGACTTTTTGTCTTAAAAGAACCTCTTCTTCTTGCCTACAAGCGGTGAGAGCAATTATGGGATACCCTGTATACTTGCGTAAGACGTGTATACGCGCGAATAAGAAAAATTCTTGATGTAAATAATGTGCATTTTATTATGTATTGATATTGACGCGTTCAATTGTAATGTAACTTACAAAGCGGTTTATAATTTTGTAATAATAAAAAGTACGTGAAAAACTAACATCAATTGTTTATTTATGACAATTTTTCCCATGTGTTAATTACACTAATGTATTCTACACACAGAGAGAGAGCGACACACACACACAGATACACAAGATGTCCGACAATTAGTTTACAATATATACAAGGTATCCGTAAAATTTTGATCCAGCCGAAGTATGGAGATAGAGTGAGTAAAACTGAATAGAAAAGT